AACGGATGGGAACAGTGGTACTGGGCATAAAGCAGATCTGACGACACAGGCAAACAACAAAGGAACGACACAACAGAGGAATGACTAAAAACGAAAATTCAGCACTGTTGTGAGATAGATGCTTTATTCTTTCAAGTGTATAGAAGAGAGCATGTAGCTGCTGTAGCAGAAGCACAACCACCATTATTCAGTTCTTAATGTAAAGAAAGTGCGTTTCAAAAGGTTATTTTGAAATGTGTTTTAACTTGGGAAGTGACAATAACGTATGACCATATGTAGTTCTCCACCTTCAGCCATGAAATAAATTTCTCAAAGACCAGGTCTGCGAAAAATAGCTGTTCTTAAAATACTTGCCTGTGTGTATGTCCTGTTCCTTGTGTGCACTTAACGGTTAGAGCCTTTCAGCCAGAACTCCCTTTTGGGGCAGCATGTACATATAGGATGTTTGTATGTGCTGTACTGAGAGCACGAAAGATGGTGTGGCTCCCGTGTTTCCTTCGGTCTGTAACTGCAGATGTAGCTGTGTTGGAATGGCATGGCATGGCTTGGAATGGCATGGCATGGCGTGGAATCGAAGAGAACAGAATAGAATAGTTCGGCTGGAAGGGACCTACAACGACCATCTGGTCCAACTGCCCGGCCCCTTCAGGGCTGACCAAAAGTTAAAGCATGTTATTAAGGGCATTGTCCAAATGCCTCTTAAACACTGACAGGCTTGGGGCATCGACCACCTCTCTAGGAAGCCTGTTGCAGCGTTTGACCACCCTCTCGGTAAAGAAATGCTTCCCGATGTCCAGTCTAAACCTCCCCTGACGGAGCTTTGAACCATTCCCACACGTCCTGTCCGTGGATACCAGTTATTTAGCTTCTTCCTGTTACTGACTGGCTTTTATGGGGTTATTTTATCTCTTAGGATAAAACAACCTTACTTTCCAAAGAGGGTTTTGTTTGTTTTCCCCCCCCCCCAAAGAAGAAAGCCTTAGTACAAATACTCTCTTCATCTATTGCTTTATAACAACTTTTGAGCCTGTCGAGTCATTTGGTTGACACAATGAAAAGAGTAGAGGTCTCAAAGATAGGTTCCCATTAGTCATAGAAGAAGCTAAGTGGTCAAATTAGGAGGTAAGACAATGGTAATGCATCATCCAGTGAAGAAACTGGATGGGACAAGGAAAGGCAAGGAGAATGAGGGTTTATCCTTTTTGGTTGGCAATTTGCTCCGACCAAACTGCATTTAATATGCTGGGTGCTCACTCAGCATATGCAGCTGCAGATTAGGTACAGATTAGATGATCTGGTAAAGTAGCTACCAAATGAGCTGCCTTTTGCTAAAGGCCCTGAAAAGATGGGAGAATTGAATATGCTGTAGTGGCTGGCGTAAGGGAGCTGGGAGGAAACTGACACTCCTTGGTAGTATGGGACCTGGGAGGGAGCAGGGGGACACTCCAGGTAGGAACCGAGTAGCCTGCACTGCAGTGCTGTTTCTTGTGAAACAGTATGTCTGTCTTTTTTTTTTTCTCTATCAAGGTTTGGGGATTTTTTTGGCTGTGGGTTCTTTGTTTTGTTTTGTTTTTTCTCCAGCTAGCAGAACTTAGACATGTCTAAGTGAAGGCTTTAAGAACGCGCCTCCTGCAAGGATGCAATAATACAAAATGGTAGGTATATAAATTGTTACTTGTTTTGTGGAATTCCACAGCCTCAGGAAAGGCATCGACGACGTGTCCTTCCAAAAGATGCTGAATTCAAAAAAGTTCATCTTCAATTATTTTCACTTGACTAGTTCGTGTAATCACCTGAGGATTTTTTGCTCCGGAATATCTTAACGTTTTATGTACTAGCAGGAAATCTATTCTTCAGACGGTTATGTCAAGGTGGTTGTACAACCAAGGACTCCCTTAGTGGTCCTAGGTTGTTATTCCTCAAGTACCGTTTCATTCCCTCACACTGGATGTAGAGGTTCTCTGGAAAGACAAGACTGATGTCCACTATATTTGCATTGTTGCCAAACATGCAGATTATGGGAAGTACTGACAGTCTCTCATGACCTACAAGAATCTGTGATTTCGTTTTTTAAAACTCTGCTCTTCCTCCTTTGCCTAAGGAAGTTATTGTTGGTTGAGTTTGAAATAGGGGTGGGAGGTGCCCAAGGAATTGGTCGTAGTATTTTTGTGTTGATTCTCAGACTAAAGAACCAAACGCAAAAACAACGGACTTTCTTAAATTTGTCAAATTAAAAAAAGTTATGAGGGTTTGTCCTGGCAAATATTAGTCACACCTTCCACTACTTACAAGAATTTCTATTCTTTGTTAACTATCTTGCTTTGGTTTGAAGAATTTTGGTTTCATTTTAGTATCACTAGCGGTGATTGATTGTGGGTTTTTTAAAATGTTGTTTCTGAACATTTTTTTCCTTTTTGCCGAGTTTGGAAATGTGTAGGATAAAGCAGAAGAAATGTCCTACATACCATGGTAGCAGAAAAAACTGTAAGTGTAACCCCCCACCTGCCAATTACTATGCAGAATTATTTGTTTAGGTCATTTATGGAACACTAGAAAATCAATGGGCAAGGAAAAAAACTTTGAAATCCCTGTAGTTCATTATTTTTCTCTCTGTTTCTAAAGAACGCTAAACCTTGACGATTCCTTAGGTAAGGCGGCTATGAGGTCTGGAAAGCTGCGCTGCATAGGCAGCCGCTCATGGTGCTTGCTGTTGAGAACAGATCTGTATTCCAAACTCTTCTGTTAAGGCCTGATGCTCTCAGACAGCTTGGTTGCACCCTGAGATCCAGCCATGAAGCAGAAGAACTTCCTTCAGGCTTTTAGAGAGGTTTCTACTAGTTCCACACCAATGAAGTTTGGGTAAAAAAAAAGTGAGTGTCATGTAAAGACCTTCTGCCTTCTTAAAGTAATCGGGTTTTCAGTGTTGAGGTATGGGGTTCTTAAGAAATACAGAGGCATCATGCCAGTCCTCTAAGAATCTCTTTATTTGTATCTGGTTTTATTTAGCACATTACAACTTCAGCACAGACATGGAGTAGATGTGTGCACCAACATTTGCACATAAATGTTGTGAAGACGACTTTGAGAAGAGCACTGATCTGTGGGGCCAGCCCGGCGGAGTTACTTGCAGGAAAGGGTAACTTGCTGCAGAGATTCAGTCATTTCTACTTGCATCAAGGCAAACAACAAGATCAAGTTCTGTTAACAACAGATGGTAGTTCTAGTTCCAAGTAGAAATCTGGCAAAGGAGCACTGAATTTAACTGCTGGTCAAGAAATATCAAGTTGTAAAGACAAGAAGTTGTTCTAAAGCCTATTAAGTTCTAAAAGAGATGCACAGGAACATTTTACCACTTACATAGAAACGTTTTATCCCCATTAATAACAGTGGAAGAACCGCTGAGTAATATGAAAAATGAAAAACAAGTTCTGGCTCTACTACAGGCCCCGTTAGGCTTGGGAAGTCTAAGATTTATCAGTAGTTTTTAGAGAAGTTAGTTATGTAGTAGTTTGTACCTAAATCAAATAGACTATTAAGTATCTTTATTTTTATTTATTACTTATTATTTCAAGAGGTGAAACTAAATTCCACTGGCCACATGACTGCTATATGCACAGTTGCGAGTGTTTAAAACACAGCACTAGGATTTCATATGGCTTACAGAAAAGTTCAGTGGGTTTAAGACAGAGGAAGATATGACAAGAAATTAAACCACTTAAATGGCGAGTGACTGAAAACTTTTTACTCGCTTACATCTACATCTTTGCTGTAAACTTCATCCTCTTCAGCACATCCACTCATAACAACAAGTTGTCATGGAATGATTAGCTGTGATATTTTACATTTTTTCCTTCAAATGACAAACTGCATGCTATCCTACAGAAAATGATGCACAGTGGGTCTCATACTTCCCTATGCAAGTTGACAGCCATAAGGGCCGTGTTTTCCAGCTTAAAGCTTAAAATGCTTTCTCTTAAGACACTTTTACATCTCTTCTTACAATGTATCTCTCTCGAATTTAAAACTGACCTGCCGAGTTGCACTGTGCGCTTCATTCTTTTGCAGTTCTCGCATCTGAAAATTCACAGTGAATGTTTATATACCAACTTGTTGCAGAAAGGAAAAGTCTTCAAAAGTCTATTTTAAGATTAAATCTTCTGATTTTAAGAAGGTGGACCAGAAATCACTTTTTATCCTATCAAAAGCTTAAGTTTACCTTCTGCGTGCTCTGTGAGTTAAGAACTGTCATAGCATTTCTGTGCTTTAAAGAAACATCAGCATGGAGATGAGAACAGGGAGATTTCAGTAATTCATGCTGAATTTGTTGAAAATACTGCAGTGTGAAAAAGTAAATACAGATTCAGATCTTAAGGAAAAAAAAAATTCTTTTCCATTGATGGCAAAAAAGCCTTTATTCTCTTAACGACTTTGGTTGCATTCTTACTGATGGGTCAGGAATATATCCAGTAACAACAACAGCATCTCTATTCAGGAAGTTTCAGTGCTCATGCAAAGTTTTTCTTAGTAGAGTCAGAAGAGAGTGCAGATTTTTATGAGCAGAAAAAGTTCATGGGAGGTGGCAGTCCATGCCATTAGTGATGCAGTTCTGGGGACTGACACCCAAGACAGTTAATATTTCAACAGGACTTTAAGAAAAAGTGTTTGTAATGGTATCACTTCTTAGCGAAAGGTGGTTTGTGCTTTTGAGTGTGATCTTAAAAGGCACTCTATTAGCAATTCTGGATGACAACTTTATTTAGCAAGAAGAGGCAAGGAGTTGTACTTTAGTCATCTTGTGCTAATCTTGTGCAATTTAGTGCATCCATTTCTGGCAAATTACTTCACGCTAATATAAGCTGGATCACTTGAATGAAGTTACTCTTTCCTATATTTAGTATCTATTCATTTAAGAATACACACACTGTACCAAATATTGTGTTATGATGAAACATGCAACAGTGAAAAACCTCTATCATCAGGCGCCTAGAACATGTAATTCCATCATTTACAACTTTATTGGTGGGGAATACATCCATTATGCCATCTCACAATAATTCCCTGTATATTCAAGAAGATCCGTTCAGACTAGTATTTTCCTTATACAATAGCTTCATGTTACCAGACACACTGCAGTCAAAGTGTTAAGAGTAATTACGTACACAAAGAGACAACTAAAGTGCAGAGCCTGTGGGATATATACTTTTTATTTATGTTACTGCAGAAAGAGATTACTGAAAGATTTCTTCTGCATGAAGGTGAATAAAATATTTTCATTAAGCTTCAGATGCTGCCCACTGCATTGCTTTTAAATAAAAATTCTTACTTTCTATACAGACACAGCAAAGTAGTAAGCAAACTTAGAACACATTCCTTTAATATATCAAAATGTTTCCAAGGCAATATTATTAAAATTATACCACAGTTCCCAGTAACATCAAGCTTCATAAAGGAGGTGGTAGGGAAACTTTATCCAGTTAATAGTTTAAGTGCTCTTCTTTTCTTCCCCCAGTAAGTTCACTGTTGCTTTCTTGGCTGCAGGAAAATAAAAGCAAGTTTAATCTTAGAGGGCTACAGACTAAGTGACTTACTCAGTGTTCTTGAGCTGCATAAAAAAAAATAATGTTCCTTTTAGGTCACAAAAGAAACATCACAAAAGAAAATCATAGCTTTTGTATACACATACACACACAGTGATAAAACTGATCACAAAGATTTTAAAAAATAAACCATAAGCAAGGAGCAGCACAATAAACAGCACAGACTGACTTACAACTATTTTATCAATAAAATAGAGCTGCTCACAGTGTTTAGGACATACAGGTTTACAGCAAGAAATCTACTACCAAGCTGATGAAATAGGGCTGGAATAACACTAATGTGTGTGTGTACATGCATATGTGTGTGGATGATTTCTTAAAAATTGTATGTATGTGGAAATCTTTATATGTAAAAATAGGAAAACGAAAGAGTAAGTGATGGAATGAGAACAGAAAAATCCCATGTACAACACAGAAGAACATTATTTAAGATACTTGTCTAACAATAATGATTCAGGAAGGGTCATGCAGCAAAACTTCCAAGCATAGTTGAGAAAGGCAGACCACTTAAATACCAACATGAAAACTACTAAAGTTGGTAAGAGGAAATGAGACTGCATGCGTTGCTTGGCGGAAAAGAGACTTAAGGTGCTTTGAAATATTTTATAAATAAACGTCCTTCCAAGTGAAATTTAAATAAACCTTTATTTTAGCTACTTAATACATTTCCTTCTCTTATTCATAAAACGATCATCAGACATTTTGGAGTATGAGGGTCCACTATAGAATGCAAGAAACTAAAAGCAAAAATTAAGCAATCTACAGGCTGTGATAAAATTTATTCTAACCAATTAAAAACCTAAGTAATTTCTTTAAGAATGGGCTCAGAATCCTTTGATCTCCAGAGGAAGGAAAAGTACAAAAACTTACAGACGGGAAAACTTCATTTCACATGTTGCTGTTGATTGGAGTTAAAAGATTTGCTTTACTACACAATTGGCAGCCCTTCTATACTACCAGGTATTTGAGATGGTATTTTAGGAGATACAAGAATACACCGAAAAAATGACTGTATTTATGGAAGGTATCTTGTGAGGGTGTTTGAATCTGCCTCTAGAGAGAGTGTTTACAGTGATATGTATGGGGGGGAAGGACACACAAACTAATTAGCTGTTTCTTCCACTCATACAGCTTGCACTCATTCTAGCATAACTGCACTCCTAGAAAGTAAGATCCACTGCAATTCTCTTTTCCTCGCATCTTCACCCAAATTTACCTTCTCCATTATAATTTACATAGCCTTCTTACAATTGTTTTCCCCAAAATGATGAATATTAACTGTAATATTAGAGCTGCCCAGGGCAACTCCTCCTACTTGATGTGATTAGCAAATGATCTTTTCCCCACCTTCTTTAGTGATGGTATCTGCAGTCTCTGCAGCCTTGTCTTTCAGGTCTTTAACAACACTGTCGAGCTGAGCTTCGTGCTTCAGGAAGAAAGGCCGAATAATTCGACGATAGAGGAACTCTGCCCCATTAGAAGGGCTCGGAGCCATACACCACAACAGAAATCCACACTACAAGGAACAAGAAGAACTGCATAAGTAGAAGAAATGAGTAGGAGACAAGGTGTAGCGTGCCTTCCTAACTCTGCCACAGACTTGAGCATAGTTAAAACAGTACGTCATCCCCTTCATTTTGTATGGTCACAATGCAGTAAGTATGCAGGTCAGTATAGTCACATACAGTGAATTTTTGTATTGGAATAATTTCATGGATATTGATAGGATAAAGGAGGAGGGCTGTAGCAGTAAAGCTCATCTGGTAACAGGTGTATCAAGATTGCATGGGGTTTTTGTTTGGTTGTTTTTAAGGTAGAAATACAAAACCTGATTAGACAAAACATCAGAGTCTCTGGCTACTTCTACACTATGAAGGTCTAGGTCCGTAAATCACTTGAATCCAGCCAAAACATATCCCTGTCCTCTCTGCCTCCTTGCTTTGAAAATGCAGCGGGGGAAAGAATGGGATTGTGTGCGTCTCAGAGCTAAAGTGACAAGGAGGAAAGATGTATCCAAGCTACACACAGCACACAGACAAGGGTAATGCTTTTGGATTGCACAGGCTAGGTAATGCTTTTATAGCACAATCTGCTCTCTGGGGAAAAAAAACCCCAAACCCAAACACCACTGTGTGTGGGATAATATTTCTCCATCTTACAAAGGGGATTAGAAAGACAGGTATTACATGTATTACAGATATCTAAGCTTCAGTCTTTACTACTGAAGCACCTTATTTGGCTTCAGTTCCACTGTCATACGCAATACAAAGACAGCTATGCAAAACAAGATCAAAACATTTAAGGGACAGAAAATGCCATAACTAAATTTGCTTGAGCTCTGAAAGTATATATAAAGAGATTTTACAGGCTAAAACTGCAACAAAATTAAGCAAATTTTCTCAGCAATTGTACAGTTCTTCCAGACACAAACAGTACAATACTATTCCATGTTAAAAGCCTCTCCAGAAAATAAAGGCAGAACAGCTTTTCACAGACCACCTTTTCCTAAAACACAAAACAAAACCACGCCAGCCTCAGCCAAAATGTGCTTTGTTTTGATGTTAGACATGATTAAAAGTTTGAGGATTTCCACACATTTTTGGGAGGAGAGGGAGAGAAGGAGAAAACACAAGAACAACTACTCAACTCTTCCTCTTGAAAAAAAAACCCACCACACAATTAGTTAAGTTAGGCACCAAAAATGAAACTAATCATTTAAACTACAATAAAACCATAAGCAACTTAAAAGTCTGCATTTAAACACAGTAGCACTTATTTAAATAGTTTAGATTTCAGAAGTTTTCCATTTTCACAGCAGTATCTACAGCTGCCGAAGAAATGTTTCAATGCATGTGCTAGGGCTTCTGAAAGTCATTTAAAAAAATACAACCACAGTTTCTTATTTATTTATGAGGTTTCCAGTACACCGCATAATGCAAAAGCATTTCCTAGAAGCTAGTTTGATCACAGTATCCTTTCAGAATTCCACTGTGCCTAGCCAGACGTTTCTGTCTCCTCTCCTTCCCCTCATACTTTTGATTTCCCACTGTAAAACTGCAAAGACAGAACCACATCCAAATACTTGTTTTGGTATTACATAAGAAACTCAATTTGACCATTACAAGGTGATTTAAGTCAAGAGAGGTTATTTTAAAACAAAGGTTCCGATTTGAGTTTAACAAAAAGAAAAAAGAGAATAAAATCCCTTTTCAATTATGAAAACCACATAGCCTTCTTCAGGCAAGCCTTCCAAATATTTTGGAATATCTCCCCTCTATATTTCCTCAGACAAGGGATATTGAGATTGAATGTTCTGTAGGTTCTGCTCTTCATACCTGTAAAATTTTGGCTTTGTCTTCACTGCAGTGCATACCACAGTAAAATTGATCCCCCTGGTGTACATCAGTTGAAGAAAACACCTACTGTTTTTGGAGGAGATTGCTACTCCTTTTTTCTTCAAGGCCACTTCTCATTCCCCTTGCCCTCGAGAAAGTCAGTTATGATATATTTGGAGCTGGAGAGGTATCTTGACAGGCTGTCTCTTTGAAAAGGATCCCCGATTCCTGGGGATGACAACTGCCTTCTACAGAAGATTTTGCCAAACCAATTTACCATCCTTTGAGGTAAGCTTTAAGCTGTCGTCTTTAAACTTGCGGTGTCAGAACAGAATGATTTAAAAGAGTGTTTGCCCAGAAGACAAAGAAAGGTTTTTCAAAGTAAGGTGTCCGCCAGTGAGAATGCCAGGAACATTTAAATGAATTAAAATAAATAATGCAACATGCAATAAAATTTGGCACCAGTAATTAGCAACTGATGCAGTACCATTAAGCATGGTCAGGGAAAATAAAGGCAAAAAGTCATAGAATATCAATTTTCAAAAGCTTCTATTATTTGGAACTGTCATGGTTTAACCCCAGCCAGCAACTAAGACCCACGCAGCCGCTCAGTCACTCACTCAGTCACTCCCCTCCTGTGGGATGGGGGAGAGAATCAGAAGAGTAAAAGGGAGAAAACTCGTGGGTTGAGATAAAGACAGTTTAACAGGTAAAGCAAAAGCCGCACACGCAAGCAAAGCAAAACAAGGAATTCATTCACTCCTTCCCCTCGGCAGGCAGGTGTTCAGCCATCTCCAGGAAAGCAGGGCTCCGTCACGCGTAACGGTTACTTGGGAAGATGAACGCCATCACTCTGAACATCCCCCCCTTCCTCCAGCTTTATATGCTGAGCATGTCGTCACATGGTATATGGAATACCGCTGTGGTCAGTTGGGGTCAGCTGTCCCGGCTGTGCCCCGTCCCAGCTTCTTGTGCCCCCCCAGCCTACTGGCTGGTGGGGTGGGGTGAGAAGCAGAAAAGGCCTTGACTGTGCGTAAGCACTGCTCAGCAGTAATGAAAACATCCCTCTGTTATCAACACTGTTTCCAGCACAAATCCAAAACATAGCCCAGTACTAGCTACTGTGGAGAAAATTAACTCTATGCCAACCAAAACCAGCACAGGAACTTAATACAACAGAAAGAATAAATGGCACTATCTTATGTTGTTATCTTTCATTAAAAGCTGAGAAGCATATTGATTTTATTTCCTGTTAAAGAATACCTGACTAATTACTGATAGTTATTTTACTTGTCCCAATATACAAAGATGTTACTTAGTTCTCCTTTGTTTTAGGAAATCCCTCAGCTGTAAGTCCAACTTCCTCTGAAATGAAAAGAAATTGAAATTTCCCTTTTCTTGCCTATGAACAAAATTAGTCATTTTGATTTTACAGCTTTGTCCCAGTCTAGTCCAGAAAAAAAATCAAATCTTTTACAGTTATAGATTTGTTCTCAAATACCTATTACTTTTGAAATGTACTGAAACAGATGCTTATATACATTTTCTAGAGGACATATACCAAAGCTGCAAATCTCAGTCTTTTCAAAGCTCGAGAATGTCAGACTGCTAACTTAGTTTATTTTTCCCTTGTCTCTCCTGAAACTGAACTAACACAGATTATTAAAAATAAAGTGCTTTGTAAAAAGGTCCAGAAAGGTCAGAGTGATAGAACTGTTAACTGCAAAAAAACCCCACTATATTCTTTGTGACTCTCCAGACCAGCCAGAGGAGGGAATGGAATTCGTGCAACAGAGTGACTTCCGTAGGCAGGTACCTGAGCTGGGTCTAACCCACTTGGAGCTTGCTAGCAGCTGTTCTTGCCCTGGCAGCACAAAACCGAATACAGCTGGTTTTGCCACTACAGCAGAGGAAATGACTGCAGCTGAGAAATACAGCAAGTACGCCCACGGCCAGTTCCAAGCTTCTACAGACAGAAGACTATCAAAACCCAAGGCACGCCTCATATGACCACAAATATGAACACACTCCTAATAGAAAACTGCAGTTATCAAAACAAAGTGTTCCTTTTAATGGAAGTGAAGTAGCTCTTTAGTCAAAATCAATAATTAATTGCATGGGGTGCATGGGCCAGAGAAGGGAATCTCTGTCTTGAAGCAGAGTCAGGCTGCCACATTTGGCACGTTGCTACACTCACAATATACAAAGATGTTACTTAGTTCTCCTTTGTTTTAGGAAATCCCTCAGCTGTAAGTCCAACTTCCTCTGAAATGAAAAGAAATTGAAATTTCCCTTTTCTTGCCTAAGAACAAAATTAGTCATTTTGATTTTGACACTCCTCCTGCTCCATTTGAGTGAGTGCCTCATAGCAGCAGTGTGCATAATGCACCCAGTGTGACATGTCTGCTAGGAATTCTGTTCAGAAATAGTATTCTAATATTTCAAGACAGAACTGTTAGTAGATTTAGGAGTCTCCTCTCTTCCCACTACCAAGAATACTCTTAGCATGATAACCTCTACTACTTTCACTGGCTACAGTATTTTAATACCTGAATGCCAAAGAAACCTTTAAATAATTAGAAAAAGTATTGAAAACTAGATCACATACACATGAAATCATGAGTTGCATGCACGTCCTGTGCTTCAGAGAAAAAAAGCAGATAAATAAAAAGTAGGCATTAAAAAAAACCAAACCACAAAATCCAAGAAATCTCAAAACAGTTTTCAACTGGAGAACAAAAGTGTATGCAAATATCATAACATATTCAAAGGAGTTCTTGAACATGCCTTTCTCCAACCTATAAAAACTCCTAGTGTGCTGAAAACTTTGAGGTGACAGAGCCTAGGCTCTGGACTTAAGGGAATATGGGAGCAGCTCTGATCAGTGCCTCAGCCCTGCACATGAAGGTATACAGAAATATTGAGCAGCTAAAACTTAGTCTGGAGTGGAAGTTACAAGCTGTATCAAATAAATGTGACTATGCAAATTTAGCATATTTGGAAAATGAAAGCGAGCTTGAAATTTGCATGAATAACATATGTGCGCTTCTATTTCATAACATCGTAAAAGAGACATGGAGACATCACAAACTACACTACAAGAGGTTTTAGTTGTGGATGGACTGAAAGTTGGAAGCTGCCTGCATCCTCCTTTTCCCTGCATGGAGTAACTTTCATCCTTCCACCCAGTCAGCAATACTTTCTGATTCTCAGCCAACACCTTCTGTCTGCCTTTCTATCACAAAAGTAAACCTCTCCAACTACCCACCACTGAGAGTAAATAGTTGACTTCTATGTGCCTTCAGCACATGGCATGGTAGCTGTGGTAGAAAGCTGTGCATTTACCATAATTGCTTCCTTGTGTTTGCTTTTGCTGAACTGAGAAAAGTACCTTCCTGTTGATGCCACCACTACATGTAAATGTGGCACTTCTGATACAGTATTATCAGAGCCATCTGCGGTTGGTCTTTATTTGCAAGGTCAACCTGAATTTCAATTGCATGCTCTTCAGAAAGCGTGCTGTGCTGGCATGAAGAAATCATTGCCACATCTTTTACCACCAAGAAGTTAGAAAAGAAGCTCTAAAAATACACAGTATGAATTCAGAACTGCAAGTATACATCACTGCAGACAATGGGTAAAGTCATAATCCTGCTAAACTGTAAGGTGAAGTTGGGGATGTGAAATAACTGCGTAAGTGGTTAAGAACAGATTTTTCCAGTGCCATAAGCAATCCTTTTGGATGCTATTCAAATCAGACGAACTTGCACTTTGATCACTATTTGGCCTGGTCTTAATACATTAAAACAGTAAAACTTTCACATATGTGTTACCCATGCTAAACTGAAAAACTTTGCAACACCATTAAGCTTAAAATCAAAAACATATTTTCATTTTTGATTAAGGGGAAAAAATGAAGTGTGGGGGAGAGAGAATTAACTTTGTGAGACAGGCCAGAATGTTTTTAGTTTGAAGCAGTTCAAGTATGTGCTTTTCCTTAGGGAGCTAGGGAAAAGTGTCCAAATGATTGCCCAGTTGATGCCTGTTAAAGGTTCAAAAGGAACAATGCGGAAATGTAACTGAGTTGTCGAAGTCAATTGTTGTCTTTAAAATGTGGGATTTCCTGGAAAAAGCATTTGGCAACATCAGACCTTACCGTTAAAATTTTATATGACCCCACCACAATAGCTGGCAAGCAAATCCTTTAAAGAACTTTGGTGGGGCTAAACCAGGCTAACAAAGCAAAACAGAAGGAATAGAACAGCCCATTGAAACAGAAAATCGGTAACAGTTCTTTAAGCTAAACAACTGACCCTCCAGCAAGCTAGAATGTCTTCTACCCAACAGCATACATGGTAATTGGCTATCTCCTAGAATAATTTAACATGTTAAAGTTGATTGACAATACACTCACACCTTAGTTGACAAATAAAGCTTGGAACACATTAAGCAAATCGTTGTTGGTAGTCAAACCACACTAACAAATGCACATTACCAACAAGCTCCTCTGATACCTCTCATTTTCTTTCAGGAAAGTAGACTTAACTAAAAATGAAGGCTGTATGATTCAAACTATTCTTATGTTGCAATTTCTTTCTTTGCTCCCAACAGCACAGATGTTAATATTTTCTTTTGCTGCCTTTGTGATTTTACTCTCCACTTTTGCTAATGCACTTAAAAGCAAAAATAGAGCCACTCTGTAGGGTTTACCATGTGCTGTCATTTTGCCCAAATTTACCTGAACACCAAGACAAAAAACTGCCACAGTACAGCTACACTGCCTCTTTTTTCCTAAAACATGGCAGACCTTTCCCTGCCACCCATCCCAATTTCCCCTCTTGCCTCACAAAACCATCAGCTGTAAACAGATCACTTTCATAGTGCTAAATTACATGCAACCAGCATCTAAAAATAAGGTGTGACCCAGGAATGATTCCAAGGGAATCTGTTGTCATGTATCCATTCTTGAAGACATTAAATCAGTTATACCAAAGGTCTCAATTTAGCAAAGGGGTCACATGAACTAACATACCTTTAGCATGTAGTAGAAAGGGAACCAGGACAGAAAGATATCAGAGAAGAATTCTGCTATGCTGAAAACACCATACACAACCCAGTAAGTCAGCCACTGTGTGTCATCATCTTTGTTGGGACTTTCAATGGCCTTGATTCTGTAAAGGAAACAAAACAAGTGAGCAGATCAGTAGCATCAGTCTCATCTATAATGGTGAAGTTTTTATGACTCAGGTTTGTTTTTACATGTGAATCCTCATGATTTAATTACTCTATATGCTCTACAGAAGAGAATTAAGTAGTATCTATCATACAGACAATGTGCCCAAGATCCTTGAACAGTACATCAGATTTCAAAAAGAAAAGACACTCAAGCTATGTCTAGCTCTGTGATTACAAAAAAAAAAAAACCCAAACAAAAAACATGAGCATCCTGACCTTGTTCACGAGACAGTCCACAGGACAGGGAGGAGAGGGGATAATCTTTGGCCAGTTCCAGTTCTGGATGCATTGTGGTAATCCTGACCAGAAGACTATTGTACATCGAAGCATTAGTGATCCATATAACAGTTAACCTGAGTGAGCAGGTCTGTGCCACACATAGAGCCTGGCTTTCAGGCCTGTGCTGTGCTGCACAAATTCCCTAGTCACGGGATAAATTCATCTCACTGAAACGGGATCCCCTAGGCAGCTCCCACTGGGTGCCAGTGATTACACCACCTGCATGGCCTTGCCAGTATCTAACAGTGAACATCCTCCCTCTTTGACAATAGAAGCAATGAACAGAGTTGCTGTCTTGAAAGAAAAATCCTGCAATAGCTTAAATTATCAAAATGGGATAACCTTGTCTACAGATGAGGTCTGTACAGTGTGCTGTGTGTGGATCGGAGGCCCATTCAGTGCTGCACAACTTGGGGTTCCCAGCATCTACAAGGATGTAAGATTATCTATACTATTCTCTGTTGCTTTATAGTGTTAGCTCTAGTAAGTAGCACTTTAAATGAAGCTTTACAGAATCTGAATGCCTTTCTTACTGGGATCCTAACAGAGCAGCACCTACTAGTGCAAACAGCATCTAGATAGAAATTTTAAATCTAGTTCAGGATTTTGAAGTGAATCTCAAAATATCTTTCTTTACTCATAATGTACATGTGCTAGATTCCTCTTTGAAAAGGTAAACTGTAAGATTTGCTCTAACAATTAACAATCGATTGTCATAGGCGATTCCCTTCTGAGGGGAACAGAGGGCCCTATATGCCGACCAGACCCGTCCCACAGGGAAGTCTGCTGCCTCCCTGGGGCCCGGGTCAGAGACATTACTAGGAAGCTCCCTGATCTGGTGCGGCCTTCGGACTACTACCCGCGGTTGGTTGTACAGGCTGGCAGCGATGAGGTGGCAGAGAGAAGTCCTGAGGCGATCAAAAGGGACTTCAGGGCACTGGGGAGAGTGGTTGAAGGATCGGGAGCACAGGTAGTGTTTTCCTCAATCCCTACAGTGGCAGGGAAGGACACTGGAAGGAACAGGAAAACACTCCTGATCAACACGTGGCTCAGGGGCTGGTGCCGTCGGAGGAATTTTGGCTTTTTTGATCATGGGGAGGTTTACACGGCACCGGGCCTGCTGGCAACAGATGGAGTCCAGCTGTCTCACAGGGGGAAAAGGATCATTGCTCATGAATTGTCAGGGCTCATTGAGAGGGCTTTAAACTAGGTTCGAAGGGGGAAGGGGACAAAACCGGGCTCGCTAGAGATGAGCCGAGGGGTGGATAGCCTAGCTCAAGTGCATCTACACCAATGCATGCAGCATGGGCGGCAAGCAGGAGGAGCTGGAAGCCATTGTGCAGCAGGAGAGGTATGACTTAGTCGCCATCACAGAAACATGGTGGGGTGACTCTCATGATTGGAGTGCTGCAATGGATGGCTATAGACTCTTCAGAAGGGACAGGAGAGGAAGGAGAGGCGGCGGGGTGGCTCTGTATGTTAGGGAGTGTTTCGATTGT